CAACATTTGTGGCTCGCAAACCACCACGTGACCGCGTCACTTCAAAGGTAGTCATGCTACAGACTGCTGACCCTTATCTCTCGCCCCTGAGAGTTTCTCTTAATGGGCTCAGGCAAGAGAGGGTCTGAGGATGCTTCTATCAGCTCCCAAGAAAATTCTGCTGCCCCAGACAGCACTGCTGATCACACCCTGCAGATCACTTGAGAATCCTGCTGAGCTGATTCTGACGCAACATTAGGAGCACTCTGGGTAGCACTGCTGCAGCTGGCCTAAAACCATAATTTGTGTAGCAAAGTACTGGAGAATCTATTATGAGCATACTTTAGAATCAGTTTCTGGAGGAACAGTGAATGAATCACCCACCCTTTCCAGTATACACAGACTTGGCACTGAATCGCCTATCAGGAAGGGAATGGGCTACCCTGAAGAAATACCACACCAGAGGACTAAAAACCAATGTAACAGTCAGACTCTAAAAGCTCAGTGGTGAAGGCAGCCAAGTGTAGTGGCACACACCTGTAATCCCAGCACTGACAGGCTGAGGCAGGAGGATCACCACAAATTCAAGCCCAACCCTGGCAATACAGTCAGTTCAAAACCAGCTTGAACTACAGTGAATCCCTGCCTCAAAAAAAGTGGCAGTCTGCTACCATTAACTCCTTTCCAGAATTAATACTCTTTTACCCTTTGGTGTGTCCCTTTTGACTAGGATGTACTTTTCTAACAGTTCAGAAAGGAAATGAAGCACACACACAAATGGGGCAGCTCTGGGTATCACATGTGGGACCCTTGTGCTACACTATCCCTAGCCTTTTTTCTGAGATAAGGTCTTGCTAAGTGACTAGGTTGCCGAGGCTGGGCTTTAACTTGTGATCTTTCTCAGCTTCCCAGAGGATTATAGCTGTGTGCCACTATCACTATGCCCACTATCTTTAGAACAGACAGTTGGTAGTGAGTCTACTGGTTTTTTTTAATTTTTTTTTAAATGTGTGTGTGTGTGTGTGTGTGTGTGGCCAGCTCAGCCCACCAGGGGGCGGGGCCCAGGAGGCGGGGCTGGCTGGCATGTGGTGCTGGGGAATGAACCGCAGATGCTGTGCTTTTGCTTAGCTTAGCTTGTTCTAAGTAGGTGCTTCAGACCACTGAGCCATCTCACCAGCCCCCGAGTCAACTGGTTTTGGGGAACTATGAACATAACTGTGCTTTTGGTATAAACTTGGTACTAGATATACTGTTAAGGAACTGTGACACTGGGTTGAACTATTTTGTTTCCTGCAGCAAATCTTATTCAAAGCTTGATTATTCTTCATGAAATAGGATTAATAAACAAATTCTGCTTTAAAAGCTTAGTATACCCCAGTATTAAACAAAGTTCCATACATTTCCAGGAGTTTGGAAAAGTTCACTCTGCAGCAGCTGATGAGCAGACGGTCTCTGGGCTGCGTTCCTGCTGGTCAGGTGCTGGACGTATTTGGCCTGCACTGGGCACCTTTTACTGAGGGACTCAGGTATCCGACCAGTTCTTACATCCCTTAGAACTGCTGCTCGCTCCATCTCTGTCCCGAACGGCTGAAAGAGCTCAAGCAGGATCACACCCAAGCTGTACATGTCTGACTGGAAAAGGAGGACAAAGGTGGTTCAAGAGTGAAATAAGAAGTTAGACTAACATGACAAGTGCTGTGTACATACTTCTCCAGCAAGTAAGGATTTCTATGAATGAGGACTTAGTCACCTATAAAGAAGGGAACATAGAAGGATGAAGCATGCCTCACAGAACCAGGTGTCTACTTTAGGAGAGACATGACCACAACGGTCTCTCTTGTGGGGATGGGCAGAGCAGTACTGGGAACTGAGCCCAGGGCCTTCACACTGAGCTACATCCTTAGCCCTTTTTATACATTTTCTTTATAGAGATAGGGTCTTGTTAAAGTTACTAAGTTGTCCAGGCTAGGACCAAATTTGGTCGTCTTGCCTCAGCCTCCCACAGTCTAGAATTACAAGCATGTGCCAGCCAGCATGCCCAGCAAGCCATTTCTTAAATATCCAGCAGGGGTATGCATGGGTTTGCAGAATGGATGGTCAGGTGAAGGCAAGGATATCCCCCACCACCCACAGCCGTCACCAGCCCTGCCACTGTCTTCACCACTCCATGACAACTTAGGCCTGACCCAAACAGAGTGGTAAGAGCGTAGGACTACTCATTTTAGAGTCAGGGACTGTCCCCAGCTTTTCCACTGGCTTCACCTCTGCCTCTACTTGTAATTAAGCATTCTGGATAACATTTCTGAACTGTAAAATCTGCTGCTTTCCTAAAAGTAGCTTTTAGAAAGTCTTTACTACATTGGCTTTTAGGTGCAGCTGTGGTCTTTTTCTGGCAGTTCTTTCCCAATTGCTAAAAAACTGAATGAGTCATCCTGAAAGAAAATGTACAAAGTTATTTTATTTTTTATTTTTCCCAGTCCCTGCGTGCTTGCCTAAACAGACGCTTCAGACCGCTGAGCTATCTTGCTAACCCTAAGGCTATTATTTTGAAAAGAGGATTTACTTTAGCATTTCTTCAATGAGGATTAAAACTTTATATTCATTGTCTTACGCAGGGAGTCAAATAGCAAGCTTCCTTCCCTTGTGTCATGTGTTTAAGCTTCAAGTGAGAAGAACAAAAGGCTAAGGACAGGTCTGTTTAGATTCTAGTTCCCTAAAATGAATGGTGACATTTTCAGTGGAAAACCCTGTGACATCCACAGATTTAGAGAGGTAGCCCAAAGGGTAACACAGGGCCAGGGACTTAGTTCAGTGGCACAGTGCCTGCCTGCCTGCCTGCCTGGCAAGTGTGAGGCCATGAGTTCAATTCCTGGTACCCCCTAAAAAGTCAGATTTGGCTAAGAAATGAAACTTTAGGAATGGAAGGGCACTGGGGATTAAACCCAGTGCTTTTGTACTGAGCTATGGCTCTGGCCATTTTTTATTTTTAGTCAGGTCTTGCTAAACCAATCAGGCAGGGATTGAACTTGCAATCCTCCTCAAATAAGATAAAATGAAGCTACTTAGGAGAGTTTCATCAACAGATCATCTACAGAACTCAAATGTCTCCAAAAACACCCTTACCTAGAACTCTGCATTTGCAATAAGGTTAAAATTATAGAGTAAAGGGGCTGGAGATATAGCTCAGTAGAATAAGTGCTTGCCTAGCAAGCACAAGGGCCTGAGTTCAACCCCAGTTCTGAAAAAAAAAAAAAAAAATTATAGAGTAAGTCAAAAGAAAAAGTAATAACTATTACCTTGGCATCGTACTCAGATCCTTCCAACTGCTCCGGAGAAGCATACAGACAGGTTCCCACTCTGGAAGTGTGTATTGATGTTCCTATGAATTTAGAAAGGCAGGTGTGAAACACTGCAGTAGTAACACAGAGACCATTAAGGAGACTGCCTGCTGTGAGCAGGGCTCTTCAGCTCCTAAGGCCATGGTGGTGAAGCTGTACACATGGGCCACAGCCAACTGTTTACTATCATGGGAAGCTCTAAAAGGTTTGCCATCACTGTCCTAGGGGGAACAATGGTTGCTTCTGTCCTAGCTTTATTATTACGTTCTTATGATTCTCTTGTCTCTCTTTTTTTTTTTTTTTTTTTTGAGACAAGGTCTTACTAGGTAGTTCAGGCTAGCTTTAAACTCACTATGTAGCCCAGGTTGGTCTCCAATTCAAAGTGATCTTTTTGTATCAGCTTCCTGAGTACTGGGATTGCAGGTGTGTGCCACCATGGCTGGCTTATGATTCTCTCTAAATACTGGTATGTTTATGTTTACTTTTTTTTATGTACTTAGTACACGGTCTCACTAAACAGATTGGATTCATGCTGACCCTCCTGTTTTTAGTCTCTCAAGCGCTGAGATTACAGGCACATGCCACCACGCCTTGTCTTAACCATGTTTCCTTTTGAATATAAAATTTAAAAAAACAAAAAAATTTACCCTTCCCATTTCCACTGGTCCAGTCCACATTCTTCTGTATGATGTCTGTGCAGGCCAAGCCAAAATCTCCTATTTTTACTTGCTGATCAGGGCCATGAAGAAAAATATTTCTAGGCTATAAATAAACAGAACAAGTCAATTCCATAATTTTCTTAAGCAGTAAAAACTTAGGTGCTAAGATTGTCCAACTCAGGGGCAAGCAGCCCCAACAGTTCTCAAGTTTGGCTGTACTTTAGAATAATCAGAAGACTTAAAAGAGAATCCTCAATGTCCATACTTACCCAGATGAATGAAATATGAATTCCTGGGGTGGACACAAGCATACTTTTTAAGTCTAAAAGTTGTTTCAGATTTGAAAAGCATCAATCAATGTAAAACATGCTTCATACACAAGTATTTCTCAATCCTGACAGGGGATCCCACCTGATACACTTTTAAAATGTCTTCACCAACAGTCAAAGGCTGACATTTTTTTAATGAAAAACTTTGGGGTTTATTTTTGGTGCTGGGGATGAAACCCAGGACCTTGCAAGTGGTGAGCATGCGCTTTCTGTACTACTGAGCTAGACCTCAGTCCTGCTCATAATCCTCCTCTTTGCTTTCCAAGTAGCTGGGATTACTTGTGTAGCACTGTGACAAGCAACTTTGATATTTTTTAAAGCTCACAGATGACATATATTAGCCAGTGTGTTGGGCTGGAGATAAGGCCCAGTGGCACAAGTGCCTTCCTGGCAAGTACAAGGTCCTGAGTTCAATCCCAGGTACAAAAAAAAAAAA